AGGGACTCGCAGGAGTCTCCTCCAGCACCACAATTCAAAGGCCTCAATTCTTCGGCACTCAGCCTTCCATATGGTCCAGCTTTCACAGCAACTGGGAAAACCATAGCCTTGACTATAAGCACTTCAGCTTTATGGGAGGAATCAATGTAGTTCCATGATGGTGAACCGATTTTGGGGGTCGTGCTCAGCACCATAGATAGCACCTATTAAGTTCCTATAGGGCTCCAAAGAAAAACAGCAATGGGCAAGGAGCCACATTGACATAAGAGTCAATAGCCTCCCCTGTGTTGATGTGTGGGACCATTAAAAATAAAAAGGAATTAAGTTTGCCATGGTTAACTTATCTCTGACTTGCTTTAAGGGTTCTGCACTAAGTATGACTAAATCTGCACCCAGTCCCTTAATGAATGAATAAATGAATGAAACAGGAAAAATGGCTCATTGATTATACCCAGGAAAATATTGTTTAGGTGTGATATCAATCAAAATCTAGCTGATTGGTATTCCCCCCTACCCTGGTATCAATATTTAAGGATATGGAGTTTTTGAATTAAAGTACCGCGGCCCAACTATTTGACAAATCTGGAAACTGTAACCATCAGTGAGGAATCAAAGCAGAGATTGGTAGACATGTTTGGTGTGCCACTGTCAGGGAGTCTCAGATCAGCAGCCATGACATGAATGCTCAGATCCGCAGGAGGACACCATTGCCTTGATCTTCAGCAGTATTATTGGTGAGGACAACCCAGGCAAAACCCTCTGCAGAGTACAAATCTGTTACTTTCCAGCAAAGCCCTTCTTACACTGTTCACCTGCGGTCGTACTGCCAAGAGGCATAGGTATCAAATAATTAATACCTTTGTTGGTTTCATTCAGTGCAACAGAATCTAGTTTACCAAGCCTTACTATTTCTGAATCAGTTAGTTGCTAATAGAAAAAAAACTGAAGAATAAAGTAGCACTTTGCCGGCATAAGAAAATAATAATTTGAAATTTCCTTTGAATGTATATTGAACAGTTCCAATCTGTGGGCATTGTATCCACATAAAAAGCAGACATATTAGGAAAGGGTAACTACCAATGATGAATCTAAAAATCAATTGCTAATGATTTATAAATTGAAATCAGATTAAATATAAAGGATTATGGTGAAGGGATCTTGGAATACGAACCATAGAGCAAGGATAGATCCCTAAGCAATATGTTCACCATTATTAATAAATGAGTGTTAAAAGTGTAAAGAAAATACAGCATATACAGCATTTATGGAAGGACTGCCAATATTACGTGTCCATATTGGCAGGAAGTAGTACCATAATACAAAACACAGAACTGGACTAAATCCTTTATTGATTCCATTCAATGTGATAATTCCTAGTTTATGAAGAATATTGTCTATGTTCCATACCATTAATTGCTGTTAATATAGTTTATGAAAGCAATTGGAAGACAAAACTCAGCTTCTACAATTATGGCATCTCTGCCAAAATGCTTACACATAGCTGATATGGACCAGTTAATGAAGGAAAGGGAGAGCTTACCAACCAGATACATCAGGGGAAAAATGGATGTCCCTTTGTTATGGGGATGTGTTCTGTGGCCATGCAAGATTATATTGTTTTCATTTGTTTAAACAAATATTTCTCCTTCTATTTTGGTATGTTACACATCTAGCCTATATAGGGTCTTGTATTTGACTTCAAAAGATTGAAATTAAATATAGGTAGGATTCAGCACAATTCTCTGCTTCATTTCTCCTTAAAAATAACAGTTCTGATTCATTTCTTTTTGTCAAAATAAAACAGAGTTATCATGGTTCCTCCTTCATGACTGAAAGCAACAGGCTTGTCTGGCTCCGGGGAAGTGCTTAAGAACCATCCCGGGAAAGCTATGGATTCAATACTGCAGGCCTCCTGGGTTTGTCCAGTCTTACTGAAGAAGGTGAAGTTCTTGTGTTCTTCGTTATTATAGTAGAGTGTCATAATATCTTTCTCCTAAAACAACACAAAGGTGGCGTTAAACATGGATTAAAATTGGAGGATTTTTATTTTCTAACGGCATCTGCATGATTACAGCCTCATCCGGGAGAATTCTGGAACACTTCATCAAAAATAACACAGGATGATATTTTAGAGAGCATGGCTCATGTGGAAGCAAGCCATGCCCCTGAATTCCACTTACCTGAAGAGAAAATGTGAGTGTCTTTGGTAAATACCACCTGTGGGTGCATGTTTGTTTATCCAGACCAAGAGAGAGTAATGAATAGATGCCCCTCCACAGCTTTCTTTGGGCTAAAGGGCATGGGAGAAGTGAGGCTGCGCCCCTGGTGCGAGAAGCATGGGCCTTGCTGCCTGGTGTCCTCTGCTCTCCAGCTAAGCCACTGAGTGGAAGATCCTCCTAGTGCTTCCACCAGGAATGGCTTCACTGTACACACACGGTATTTCCTTCTGGAGAACCCCCATGTTCACTGAAGGTATTTGCCTGCCCTGCACCTTCTCCCACTTCAGAGAGGTTGTGGGGCAGAGGAAGGTAAGGAACTCATTTGGTGTGGACAAGTGCAAAGCTGCCAACTCTCCCTCGGCTCCAGCTCCTTGTGATTTTCTGCCTGTGACTTGAGCTACGAGGATTCCTTTCCCTGCTTCCTCCCAAAGTCCCCAAGTAAAACCCAGGCCAAAGTTGTCCAACTGGTGATACAACCATCTCTAGGAAATGGAAAGATATTGAACCACAAATGGAACTTACCACTAACTGAAGCTTAGGCTGGCCTCCAGATTCCAGACACGATAAGACCTGCTTGCCACCATTGATGCCTATAAAGATAGGGTATGTATGTTCGTCTTTTTGCTTGATATTTCTGTTGGGAGTCACAGCTATGAGCTCCTCTGGAGATAACAGATAAGGAACAGAGTCAGTGGTATAAACAAGTGAGGAAATCATCCAGGAATCCTGACTAAGAAGCCAAACTGGATGGAAGTTTGTCAATAAAAGTCCTCTTAATTGTTTAAAGGTTTATTTTCTGCCCATTTTGTCTAGAAATTTAGGCTGAAATAATATTTGGAATAGTTTGTCTGATTTTTTTTTACTCTTTCAGAGTCTCATTAATCTAATTTGAACAGAGTCCATTATAGGGATTGAAAAATACATTGGTCAATCAATCTGAGCTCTTCTATATCTTTACTGTTAGATCAGTTTTTCAAGGAGTCCAGAAATCTGGTTTAGAAGCTTTATATACTTATCAAGCCATTATTCAAAATCTTAGATCAGTGTTGGTCAGCATTAAACAAATCAAACCTAATAGATCAACAAATAACAGAAGGTTTGATTAAGAACTGCCAGAAAAACATTAATAAACTATTTTCACAAAGTTCTCAGAAGCAAAGCCATTGTTTCCTCTGATTATTTAATAGTTCAGAGTCATTTCTAAACCAAAAGTGGAGATCTATGCCAAATCGTTGTGGCAACAGTTAGGCCTAGGTGGAAAAAAAGCATTTGGTGTTGGACCTTTGGGTTTGGATCAGCTTCTCCTGCTTCCATGTTTATGTCTTAACAGCTGTAGCAAATATTGTGCTGTTTCTTCTGTTTCAACCTGATGTATTCATAGAAACATAGAAACAGAGCGAGTCAGAAGGGGGTCTCCCGGGCCATCTAGCCTGACCTCTGGCACCAGCTGGCTCTGCTCACGACATGCCCACCATGTGCACATCCAGCCTATCCTTGAACACCCGCACCGATGGGGCCTCAACGACCTCTCGTGGAAGCCCATTCCACACCCTCGGTTGTGGAATGGGCTTCCATTCCACAGTCCACAGTCCATTCCACAGTCTCCAGTGGGGTTATAAAGGGGCCTAACATTACAAAAATGGCATTCCAATAAAACGCATGCACTGTTTCAACCTGTCCCAGTTGACAATAATATAGTCTTTTCAGATGAACTGCCCACTAGACAATAGATCTTTCAATCTAAGTAAACCATTTTTCAGAGGATAAGTCTACCCAGCTTGGCAGACAAGGTTTCTGAGCCACCCAGGCCCAAGAACTGTCGGAAATGGTAGACCTGATGCAACTTTTTTTTTCTTTTAAATTTTTATATTGTTATTGTTTATGTATGTTTTTGTGTAGTTTTGTGAGCCGCCCCGAGGCTTTGTTGCAATGGGGGCAGCATAGAAATGTTTTAAATAAATAAATAAATAAATAAATAAATAAATAAATAAATAAACTTATTGCCCAGTGGAAAAGTCAAAAAACAAAAATTCATGTGGTAGAAATAGAACCTTCTTAGTCACCTAACACCAGAAATTACAAACATTCATTCAGTCCCTGAAGTGGGTGGGAAGCTAAGAAGTGCAAAGTAGACATGTGAAGTGTTACCTTGTGAGTTGGAATTACGTGGGGCCGCTACCAAAATGTTATTCTGACAGAAAAGGAACTTCTGGTTAACATCCCAAATACTATAGAGCCAGGGTTCTTCTAAGCTCTCAATATGCGACTCAGAATGATCTAGAATGAAAGTAAATAAAACACATTTACACGTCATAGACAAGAAAAATGGATGGTATGATAAAGAAAAACTAAGCAACTTGTTCAGTGGTGAAGGAATTTCATCATATTGTACTATGTTGCAGTTGTAATCCAGTTTGCATGAATGGTGAGAATGATCCATCTTCCATGCATGACGTTTCTGATGTATGTTTAGAATGTCCCCACTCTTGAGATATCATGCCCACAATTAAGTCAATATGTTTTTGGTCTCATTTATTATTTCATTTATATCGCACTGTCTTTCTCTTGCAGCAGCGTAGTGAAGCAGGCCAGACTGAGAATCCATGACTCACACCAAGTCCCCCACTGAGCTTTATGGGGACTAAAACCCAGATCTCTCAAGTCCCTGTCAAGCACTGTAATGCCACATCTGCTACCTTCTTCACCCAGAATTACAACTAGAGGTAAATGAGGATGAGTGTTGTGCATTGGACATATCATTAGAAGGTGAGATTTGTTGAAGAAGACAATAATGCTAGGAAAAGTTACAAGCAGGAGAAGAAGGGAAGGCCAAACATGAGATGGATCCACCAAAGAAGATCCATGGACTAGAAACAAAGGCCTATGAGGACAGATTGAATGAACTGGGCATCTTTTGCCTTGAGAAGACTGAGAAGAGATATAATTTCCGGACTTTTAGAGCAGCAAAGTGATGACCTAGGGAGGTCTTAGCACTTCTCTAAACAAGACATTTATTGTGCTCTCATGATCATTCAGTCATGGAAGTTTGCAGAGCCTTTTCACAATGTTGTCCTCTTGTGTCTTTCAGACTTTTTGGTTTGTTTGGCTTTGGCCGGGCTGGGCCTGGCTTCTCCCTCCCTCCCTGCTTTTTTGGAGCACGGAAGTTTGGTATTAAATTTTAAACTGCAACATTTATGAACAAAGACTTGTGAGAAGTTGGAAGTCTGCTGTACCACAGCTCTATCACAGTTTCTTCTCTTGAATAACAGAATATATAGAAAAGCAAAGAAATACAAGTCCCTGAGGAAAAAACTGAAGAGTCATCTGAGTGAGATGGTGTAAATTGGTGACCTGCAGCAGCAGAAGCCTTCCAACTCTACTATACTATGATTCTATGGAGATATCTACACCATTTTTACACCTAAGCAAATAAGAATTTTTACCTTGCTTGCTAAAATGTTCGAACAGTTCTTTCATTTGCTGATCCACAGTCTTCTTGGGCATCTTCATCATTACACCTTCTCCCGCTCTCTCCATTTTTTTCAAGGATGGATTGAATTTTTGGGAACTGGTTGATTCTTCTGAAATCACAGCTGCTAAAAGAGGGAGAGATCATGGACAGTCAACGAGTGACAAGCAGACAACTGAGCATCCCAGCTTTCAAAACCCAGATGGCCACAGCACATCCGTGAATTGTCTCATGTACTATATTGCAGGCTCTGCATAAGCAACTTAAATGGAGCAATTATTGCGCATTCATGATCCCCTAAGGAAGTTTGTGCATCCTTGGTGATGTCATCATCCTTCAAGGCCTCTCCCACATTTTCCACACACCTGTTTGACTTTTGTTCTGCACTTCTCCTCCTCCTCTCTTTTCATATCCCTTGCCTGCCAACGAGAAACCATTCCCTCTCCATTCACATCTTTCCCCACATCTGTAAACGTATCTGCCATGTAGATGAACAAGCAAGCATGGCAAATTACAAATGTTATCTGCAACAAGTACTTTAACTGGTAACAAACCAGCATCTTTTTCCTGAGTTTCTACAGCAAGTGTATGAAAGAGCTTCTAGAGCATTTTCAAAAAGATTTTCTGGGGTGGGTTTGTTTGTTCATTTTAAAAGAGAGTTTATTGAGAGTTCATTGACTTACAAAGAAAATGTCATCATTATGAGCACAGGCATAACCAAAGTCATATTCATAATCAAGTCGTATTTAGCCAACTTGTATTATGCTAATCAAATATTCATTTAATTACAGAAGTGAAGAAAATCTAGACTCTGTTTTTCCATGTAAAATCCAAGTTGTATTGTGTCATAAGCATCCTTTGGGGGTGAGGGAGGCATTGAGCTAAGAAATCAGTCCAATAAACAGTGGAAAAACACAAGAAAGATCAGAAGCTGCAGGGACCAGAGTCAGTCGTGGCTCGGTTGTGATGCTGAGAATGTTTGCCACAATCACCTGCTGCTCTTTTGTGACTCCCTGAACTTCAGCCCTCACTGCACCGCTGAAGAAAGCACGAGGAAAACAGGGAGAGGAGTAAGCTGAGAAGACAGTACCTGTTCCCGTGAGAAGTCCTGAGCTCTAAGCTGAAGTGCCTCTCTTTGTTCTCCTCTGAGAGTTGCATGACGTTTTCTAGTTATTGATGACACATGTGATTAGCATGCTTTATGAATATGAACCACGTGGCAGAACTCTGATCTAGAAACTACTAGCTGCTACAAATGAAAGGGTGATTTCAGGCAGCGCAAGCTTTTACAGGCATCATCAGTCAGTTCCACAGGGCTGTTGAGAAAATGCCTGGCTGGCTTTCCCATCACTGTCAGTGATGTTCATGAATAGAAAGTAATGAAGTCACACAACTATTTTATTTTTAAAACATGTTGCATTTGGGTTGGGAAGAAAATGGATCTTCCCACAATGCTTCCTTCAGTCCATGAGCCGCTTAGTTTCAGACAGCAAGAGCAAGTATCCTTCACATTTGTAGCGGTGCAAGACCCCACTAAGAAGTCACCACTGAATGTTCTTGTCGATTGGACTTTGCTAATCAGCCTCCGATTTCACGTCATCTAAAATCCATCCCCATTTTGCTTTCACTCACAGGATGGGTTCAGACAGCACAACGAACTACAGTGGCTTTTTACTATTGCTGGTCTGTTGCCTTGTCCAAACCCATTTGTGGTATTTCATCATGCTACAACTGGTCTTTAGAAACCCCAGTAAGAAACATTGATTTGCCCTGTGGTTTCTCCACACCATGAGGTCTGCTTGTATTGTGCAAACCCAGGACTGTCATTTGCACGGCCCTGACATTCCTCTATCGCAAAGTCACCTGAAAAGAGCATTCATTCCAGGAGCTGCTCCAGCCATCCAGTAGGGATGATGGAAACCGTAATGATGTAGAAACCACTTGGTTAGTGTTAGTGTCCAGAGCTGGCTCTCCCCTTATTCATTTCACACTTTTAAAACAGCAGACAATCTCTTTGTGAAATAGACAACGAGCAAGTCACGGCCACTGAATATGATTTTGTAAGCATAAACAGTGAATTGTTGAGCCCAAACTAGAAATTACTTCAGAAAACCCACCATTTATGTAATGCTGAGTTCCACCCCTCTGGGTAGGTCCTTCTGGAGAAGGGCTAACCCCCTGGATCTATGCAGGCCCTCTGACTGGGTAGTAGTTCCATCCTGATGCCATGTCGTGCGAACAGAGGCCAGGCTCAGCTCCTTCCTCGCTTCTGTTCTCTCCCTCCCCTCCCAACCTTGACTGTTCCCATGGTCTGCCTGAGTGCTTAGGGGCAATGACCTCGAGACCACCACACCCTCCTCTGCCCCCTCAATTCCCACACTCCCCACTTCGCAGCCATTATCACCCTCATCCAAAGAGTCCGTATAAACCTAACCTAGAAAACACACCAACCATAACTGCCTAGTTCATTCCCAAGAGTTGGGGGGCTCATGCTAGAAAAAAGAGCAAATCACAGTACCCACACAGGGTTGTGGTGTTGTATGAACCCAGGCACATTATTGTTGTTTTCACACATCACTCCTGTCATTTCCTGCTATCAGCCTGGCAGCCAACCTACAAGGATGTTGTAGCCCATTAACAGATGGCAGCAGTTTTGGTGTCCGTCTTCTCATGCTCAAGTCATTGAACGCTGCATATTCAAAAGTCAGAATTAATTATGACTACATCATAAGCTTTTCCTGGTAATGTCAGCCAAGGCTCCACCTGGAATGTATGGAATGATTAATTGAAAACCTCACCCTGCCTCTGATTGCTCTTAAGGCCCTTCCTTTCATTGCTTCTCAGAACTCTCCAACTCCCAAACAATACTTAATGGTGTGCCACGGATCACAGCCAAGCTGGGGCGCTGCACCTTGACTTTAATGTGATGTTAAGGAACGCTCAGGAGCACTGCATGTGTTGTGGTGTGTTTCAGGGCCAATCTTTAGGTTTGTGTGGTTTTGAATGGAATAAGGCTACTTGCTAAAATGCGGACTGTGCCATCGAACAGGACTGAGCATTCGCCCTTAATTCATGACTTATTTAGGTGTGAGGCTATGACACCCATGTACATGAGTCAATTTCTTTGTTTCTTTAAAGTTCTTATATCTCACTTATATTTTCTCCTTAACCTCAGACCTGCTGCAGATGGCGTATATGGGTACAAAACCTATTTTTATTCGTTTGCAACTGATATATCCTGCCCACACTCCAAAAGGAGCTTAGAGCAAATTACTATATTAATAAAACAGAAAAACAATGAAATCCTATTAGTGTAATAAAACAATTTAAAATACAGCATTACTAATCTAACTTAAAAACACAAAACCAACATGTACTTGAGGAGAATGGTTCACATAACATGTACATCAGAGGTTGGCTATGTGTGGCCTGCCAGAAGTTTGACCTATAACTCCCATCATCCCCTGGTCAGCATAGCCAGTAATGAAGGAGAAATCTTTCCCTTTAATTTGACTCCTATCAGCCCCCAGTTGGCATGGCCCAGTGTTCAGGAATGCTTTGGTCCAAAACATATGAAGGGCACCAGTTCCACTGACCTCAGACCCTTTTTGCTAACATTATTTTCATTAATGTTCGTGTTTCCATGTGCAAATTCTCAAATGTATATATTCGTCCTCACTTTTTTTTTAATTGGTGAATGCCACTGCAAAGTCAGAGAGGTACACATTTTGAAAGAGGGCTGAGTTTCAGATGGCAGATGGATTCAAAAGTGTGGAATGTGGTAAAGTCACATTACTCTGTTGACCAGATTGATGATTGGAGGCTATCTTTGGTTGGGGGCCACCATCACCACCTCCTTCCAAGCAGATCAAGACCAGAGGCTTCTAAATGCAGTCTTTATTGTGTTAAAGCTAGCCAGCTACATTGGCTTTGTGATGCAAAAGCTACTGCAGGAGTCATTAACAAGAACACCAGGGAAGTTAAAGAACCAGCTGTTAAAGAAGTTAAATCCCTCTCACCCTTTCCCAACCAAATGGCGTTAGTGCCACTTGCAGAGTAGTTTCTGCTACCAGTGGGCCAAACAGCAGAAATGTTGGTTGTTACTCGGTTAGTCTCTCCAAGATCGCAACTCAGTCTTGGAGGGGAAGAGCAGGGATTTGCTGAAGGCATGGAGAGGGGAGAAAGCAGGGCCCAATGGCTTATACCATACCAAATGGCCCCCTTCCCTCCCATTCCACAGCATGTCATTTAAAGATCTGAAATCAGCCATGGAATAAAATGCAGGATGGGAGATACGGCTCCTGCTACTTGTGGGCCAGACGGTGGGAACACTGGCTGCTACCCCATTTGTCTGCTCTTTTGATTAGACATCAGGCTATGGGGCTGCTCATGTTATATCCATTCCCCACTGGCTCTGCCTATTCAGGACTGCTTCTTCCCCCAGAACCAGAGGTGATCCAGTTCCCACAGGTCTCTTCATTCTTCACTGGGTCTGCTGCTCTTGGCATTTCAGCTAAGAATTCTGACTCAGCCTTTCTGGAATTTTGAAAATTCTGAAAACTGGAATTTTGCGGGTTAGCTACTAGCATGTTGTCCACAAGATAGAAGAACTTCTGACTAGTATCCCAAATTCTGTACAATCGAGGTTTCTCTTCACGCAGTTTCCTAACTAAGTGTAGAGGAATACAGATAATGCATACATCTCATAAACACACATCTCTATCTCTCAGTCCATCCATCCACATGTACAAGCAATGAACATGGTCTAAAAAAGGAATGACGAAAGATAGCTAGAGTGCCACATCTTTTTATACGATCAGTATCTCACTGAGGGCTGAGTCAGGGCTGACTCCTGGTTTTTGAGGGTCTTTGGGCAAGACCAGAGCCTGCCAAGACCAGAGGCAGCTTCAGGGCTCCCTCTGCTGGCCAAGGCCTGCAGAGCAGCTCTGGTGGTTGTAGGAGCCTGACCTCAGCCCACTGCAGCTGCCAGGGCTCCCATGAGTTGCACCTGGGGAGGAGCTACATAAGAACAGCTCTTCCC